ATATAGATATTGATGTACTTTAGTTTTCATTATCTACTGCAATGCAAAAAGTATATATATAAAAGTTTATCATTACTAGAAAAAAGCTATAAACTAAGACTGAATTGAACTCAGTTTTTAGATAACCTTAGTTGCCTTTCCTCCCCCTGTCCATTTACTTTCTAACATGCATACTTTTGCAGAACATAGGAAGATATCATAGGAAGAACTTTTATCTTAATTAATTTTATTAATTAGTTATTAAACATTTTACCTTAAACAGTGTGTCATATAAATACAGTGATATTTAGTTTGTAAAGTTAGATAGTAAATAGAGCATATATAAAAGTACACATTAGGTAAATAATGAAAATAAAAACATTTTGTTTTATTCTTACTATCTGCCCAACACATCTGTTTTCATATCACTTATTTTCTTACTATTTCATATTCTGATTATAAATTTTGTATAATTTTGTATATACTCTGCCATTCCCAATTTTTTTGATTATCATCGTTTAAATATAGGTTTGTTTATTTATTTATGCTCCTTGAGATTCAACGCCATGTTGAATCTATTATGAGCCATTGCTATTAACAGTTTCATAATAGTCATAGAGATCAGATTTTCATAATAACCATATGTTTATCAAGCTTGTCCTTGAAGATATTTACACTTTTCGCGGAGATGATTTCTTCTGGTAGTTTATTCCACCATTTTGCAACTCTATTTGTAAAAAAATTTTACCTTGGTCTGTTTCTTTTTATCAGCTCAATATCTACACATGTTTTATGTCCTCTAATGTTTGAAGCTGGACCATTTGCTGAAATTGAAATTGCTGTTTTTGGTTGTTGATACCAACACACTTTGTCCAAATTATGAAATATTTTATAATATTGAATGAAATCATATCTTAATCTCCTGATTTTTAAAGAAGTCAGTTGGAGTTTTTTTAACCTTTCTTCATAGGGTAGGTGTCTTAACTCTGGAATCAACTTTGTTGCTCGTTGTTGAACAATTAGTAATTTATGTATGTCATTTTTATTATAAGAGTTCCATATTGGTGATGCATATTCAAGAATAGGCCTTACAAAAGTGCAATACAAAATCTTCATTGTGTTTTTGTCTTTGTAAGTAAATGATTTGCTTAGTAGACCTAATCGACTATTTGCTTTATTTACAACCATATTTACATGTTGATTCCACTTCATAGTATTTGAAATTAACAATCCAATATCTTTTTTATTAGTTGTTGAATCTAATTTTGAATCTTTTATAAAATATTCAAAATTAGGTTACAGATTATACCAAATATATATATATATATATATATATATATATATATATATATATATATATATATATATATATATATATATATATATATATATATATATATATATATATATATATATATATATATATATATATATATATATTATGTAATAAAAATATTATTTTAAATATCAACATAAAAATTGAGTCATTCAAATTTGCTTTAATAAAAAATTTGGATTGATCAAATTAATAACAATTTTGTTATGTTGTTATATAATTTTGTTATTATAAATACTATTGTACAAATGTAGTATTTTAGTTTTTCATGAGCTGATAGTTCATAGCATCTACCAGTTGCTGATTGCACTTTTAAAGATGAAATTTTACATAGAACATGTGTAATTGGAACCCAGCAAATATCTTCTCTATGTGGCCAACTAAAAGTGTTTGAGGAAGTAGACTGCTTCATGAACTTTATAAGGATATCTTGATTTTCTTCAGATATTTCCATAATATTACCTAAAAACCATTTTTCATCATTAACACATGTTAAATGGATCACAACAAAAGCTTCCATCATACAAAGACTTAAATCTATTCAAGAAGATCGTTTCATGGTGATAACAAATAGTTTTTATATGATTAAATTTACATCATAAGTTCACAAGCTCTTGATCTTTTTGGTTAATTCGTCAAAACATTTAATTTTCTTGAATTTTATTAAATTTTCCTTCGTGATAATCTTTATTAAATGTTTTTCCAATGCAACATTGAGTTAGATGCACTAGCCATTTAATTTTAATTATTATCTAATAAATTTATTTGGTTTCAATTTTTGAAGTATAAAGAAAAGTTTCCATGAGTTTTGACATAATAATTAAATACAAAATTATAAATTTTATATGTAAAATAAAGATAAAAAGTACACCCAATAACTTGTTTATCATTTCACAGCTTTTAAATGTGTATGTTCAATTCTTATTTTGTGCATTAAGACACTTCATGCATTTGAAAAAATCAGTGAAACCTTCAATAATAAATTTCTTTTACGATGAGTTTTGTGCAAAAATATGCATGTTAAAAAGTAAATGGACAGGGAGGGGGGGTGAGAAACAACTAAGGCTATTTAAAGTTTAATTCAATCTTAGTTTATAGCTTACTTCTAGTAATGATTATGATATACTTTTATATATATATATTTTTTACTAAAGTACATCAATATCTATATTTTTATCTTTTTTATTATATTTTGTGCCAACTTCATTGCTCTGACTTCGTGACTTCCCCATGAGTACCCACTAATTAAAAAAATCAGAAACTTCAAATGGCAATATCTCATGAACCACAAAAGATTGTAAGCTGAAATTTTTAGGAATTACTTTTCTCATTGATATAAACCAACCCACCAAGTTTTATCAAAATCTGAATTCCATGTTAGAATCCTAAAATTTCAGTCCATTTGGCATGGAATGACCCATTAGGGTGTCCCAAAAAATGATAAAAATTTGAAAATCAAGAGACTATACCCTTCAAACTATGTGAATTGGTCTATAAAGATAGAATATATAAAAAATTTTGATCCAAAGTTAGCAACTTTGCTAGATGTGTAATTATAAATTCTGAGAGATTTATATTTTTTAACAGTTTTACGCACTAAATTGAGTATGGGAATACAGGGTTGAAAAAAAGTCATACCCCTAATGCATCTCATATATGTGATGCTTGCATAACACCATATTAAAGGGAGGTTATGTTTTACTCTCAGCAAATGAATTGCTTCATTATATTTCCCTGTGTTACTACTGGTTGTATCGCAGTAGCAAGCAAACTGTTGATTAACACACTCAAAGTATTCTAATAATTTTATTAGTTCAATTGCCTGGCATGCTCCAAAGCCATTTTTTAATTGGACAATCCCAAGTAATATATCGTCACAATCTGAAGCATCTGGAGAACTAACACTCACAGCCAATCTGTCATAAGCAATAGATATTTGAAGGTCTTCTAAAATTTCTTTAGCTATTCCAATACTATATCTTGCTGCCACAATTGATGTTACTTCAATAAGCTCATTATGAGTAAGCTCTATTTTAGTCATTTTCTTTAATCTAAAAGTGTTTAATAAATAGATTTTTTATTTAAATTTGTTGTTGAGTTAATATGCCTCTATTAATAATAAAGTTGTTCTGGAAATAAAATAAATATTTAATTATAAATAAAAATTATTTTTAATAACGTAATAGTTCTCAATAACCTTTTTTTTTCTTCATAAGTTTTTTGTCAAATTCATCATCTGTTGAAGAGTCAAATTTCCAGTCGGCTGTTTTAAATCCATCTAAATTTTCACTACATATTGATATACTACTATCCTGGCTTCCTTGAACTCTATGAATCTTGTTTTTTTTTTTAGTTAGAAATCTGAGTCTCCTCTTTTCAGTTCTATCTCTGTAAGCTGCATCATCTTTTTCTTTAATGAACATTTTCCTTTCCTTTATTTGGTCTTTATAAAATTCTAGATCATTTTCAACTACTTCTAGATCATTATTAGATACTCTTTTCTGCTCAAAATCCATTTTGGTAATATTAAAAAGATTATTTGGTTCGAGTTTAAATTCTTCTACTAGAATGTTATGTTTTGTTTTATCTTTAAACTCAAGTGATTTCAAGCAATTTAATGTATTTTTTAATGAACTTCTTTAATTTGTCCCTTAGTAAATAATTTAAAAAAATTATTTTATCAATAACATTTACAGTTAAGCTAAGAAAAAACAAGTACGAACTGAAAAAATATTCATTATTTTAAATGTTACTAATTACCTTACTTGAGCTCCTTTCTGAATATAATTTCCAAAACCTGCTTTGATTCGTACAGAAATAACTTCAGCAACAACACAATTGATCCCAAAATAATTAACACAAACTCCTTTAAAACACACAAGTTCAAATCCAAGATGTTTTTGTGAAAAGGCAATGTGAAACTTTGACAGTCTGAATCTGTAGCTTTTTTCAAAGTTTAAAAATAGGTAATATCTCAACACAGTTCCTACAGAGGGCAGTTAGTTTGTTGGCGATTTGTTTATAAGATGATTAAGAAGGTAAACAGTTCTTCTAGAACTAATAGAGCAGTTATATTTTCTCTTTGCACCTTGTTTAATTTTTGTTTTTTAATATTCCATGTTTAAAACAATTAAAAATTGATATTGTGAACACTTCTGCACTAGTTAAAATTATTTAACAAGTAAATCTATTATAAAAATTTATAAACATTCTTAAGCTTATCTAATAAATCTTTCTGTATGATTTTAACAACAATGCTTGATTCATGACAATTATTACAAAAGCTAAAGTAACAAAAATACAGAAAAAATTGTTATATCCAAATTTTCAAAATATACATCTTGCAATTGTCCACTATATATATATATATATATATATATATATATATATATATATATATATATATATATATATATATATATATATATATATATATATATATATATATATATATTATATATATATATATATATATATATATATATATATATATATATATATATATATACATATATATATATATTATATATATATATATATATATATATATATATATATATATATATTTCTATTATTTTTAAAGCAAATATTTGTTTACTTTAGATTAGTAATTATTACTGTTTGTAAATATCTTTTATCTTATAACTTTTTATAACATATTTGATTTGGTTTTTATACTTTTGAATTAACAGTTTTAAAAATTATAAAATTATTTATTTTAATAATTATTAAATTAAATGGTGTTTCGCCATTTCTTTAATATGATTGGCAATACAGAAGATGATGAAATGAGCAAAAAGGTTGTCTCTAATCAAGATATTCAAAATGAATTTTTATCTGAACTTGCTTGTAAAGTAAATAACTATGACAATATTGATGCAATAAATCCAAAAGAAAAATCAGGTAAGTTTATTAAACTATTTGAAGCTATTAAATTATTTATTGTTAACATCCCTGACTGGCAAATAAAATAGCATTTTATTTATTGATTTCATTAAATTATTACCTTTTTATAATTTTGTTTCCTAAAATAAATATTTAATAATAAGACAATTCCAAAAAATTATGCAAGTGTGATTTTGAAAAGTAATGTTTGTTTTTTTCCATTTTACTTTTATTTAAATGTTATCTATATGAATATTTTATATCCAAGAACAAGTTATAATTGTTATAAAAGTTATTAAAGTTGAACCATTCACAAAACAATAAAATGCAAATTTTTGTTACCAAATAAATAAACTTTATTCTCTCTAAAAATATAAGTTTTAAAACCAAGGTTCCTACTTTGTTTAGTATATGTAATTTTATACAAATGAATCACATATAAGTATTTCAAAAGAATATATCTTAACTTGAACTTATGTTCACAACACTCTCATTAGAAAATTGCTTCCATCAAATATTAATAGCTTATATCAAATGTTTAGAAAATCATTGTATAATTTACAAATTAATTATATTATAATTTACAAATTTATTAACACAAGAAAAATATGAAATTAAAAAAATGTATATTGGGACTACAGGCCTTGTTTTAAATAAAAAAGTGCTTAATGCATTAGCTTAACGCGATTTTAACGTCATAAAATTATCTTTATTTTTTTTTTATAGACGTTGAGTGTTTTAACTACCGCAATAAATAAATAACCGCTAACTAGTTCAATTTAACAATTAACTCAACTATAAACGTTTTAAATGTAAATTTGTTATGAAAAGTTTGTAATGTTTTCAATTGTTATTTTATTATTAATTTTAGTTCAATATTATTTAGTAAAAAAAAAATATATATATATATTTTAATTATTTCTGAAATTTGTTTTTGAATAATTATTGTTTATAAATCGTTATTGAAAAAATAATAATGATTTTTTTTATTTTTAGAAATTTCTGGAGTAAACAAAAAATATTAACATTGATAAACAAAAACCCATGTTAATTATTTAAACAGCGATTATATTTTGACTAGCAAAGAATAATTTAGGTTTTTAAATATTTTTTAAATTTATTTTGCTTGGCGTTTCAACTTGCGTTAATAATATAAAACTAGCTGGGGTGACCCGTAAAATACGGGTCTTTACCGAACCGACCATTTTTATACTTATCTATAGCTATCCGGACGTAAACTAAGGGTCTTAGTAAATCTATTCTACACCGACCTTTTCTATACTTATTCCTTACCTCAATATTTTTTTAAAACCGTTTAAAAATGTACATATAAAAAACTATACTTACTTTTTGATATGACAAAAACATTTCTGTTAAAATGTTCTTTTAAAAACTTCAAACGATTTTAATATTATGCCGATTATAAAAATTTTAATAAGAAAAAACGTAAAAAAGACTACGAACTTAGAAAAATGCTAAAAAATTCAACACGTGACGCCGTTAAAGTACGCCTTAGTTAACGTTCATAATATATACACATCTAATTAGATTTTATTTAAACTCAGTTGTTGCAAACTTGGTTTTGAATTTTTAATTACACTTCTTATGCGTCATAAATAATCTTAAATTTAAATAGAAAATACGTTTATGGGCTAATTGGTAGACGCGCAACACTTAGACATTTATAGTCATCTTACCCCAGGAGTTCATACTCCAGTGACTTTTTTTTTTCATCCCAACTTACAACAAAAGTAATTAAAAATAAATGTTATCATTGAAACAGTTTTAAACATTTCTTCCTATTTATCTTTGAACTTAACTTTATTCACTGCAAACATACTTTTGGTGTTTGTAAGCGTTATTTTACGTTTAGTATTTGTAGGAATTATTTGCACGCACGTATTTTAAACAATTATTTTTACTGTTTCATCTAAAAATCTTATTTAATTTAGTTTAATAATTTCTTAAATATAATATATATAATATAATTTAAAATATTTTATTAACCCTATTTAAATAAGTATCAAAACTCTTTCCTTTAATTTAAAAAGAATTTAAAATTAACGTAGGCTATAACGATATTTTACCCTTTCATCAACATTTATTTAAAAAGTAAATTTGGATATAGAAAAACGGGTTAAAGACTTATTATTTTAAATAAGTTAGCTTTATCTATTTAATGCTTTTCGTAAAAGCGTTTCTTTAAAGACTCTTAACAAATCATTCAAGCTGTTTTTACTGCCTAAGTTATTAAACCTGTTGTGTGTGCCAAAAATCGATACTTAATGCAAATGGAAACTTCGAGTGCTAATGGTGATTAAAGCATAAATGGTTCCTATTCATATATAATAAAAGGAAATATGAAAGACAAAGCAAAAATGATTTTTATATCCATTTAAACCAATAAATCCCAAAATAAAAAAATATAGATATTTACTTAAAAACATATTTTTCTTGATATAAAATAAAAATATAACCTTTAGTACAAATTACAAAAAAAAAATTTATTCAACAGAGCTACTTATAATACAATTTAAATTGAATCATTGTTTCATAAATATTAAGCTTTAGGTAAGCCATAATCAAGTCAGCTATAAGAAACGGAACTAAAAATGGAACAAAGTTATTTAAACGCATAATCATAATCATACACATTAATTACAAATTAACATGTCATGCAATCAATACTTTTGAAAACTCAAAAATGCGAATAAGAAACTTACTTTATTATTTTTACATAACCCTGACAGACCAACATGAATGTGAGCTAAATCTATTTGCATAAAACATCACAACAATTAATTAAATAGCAGAACCACCTCCAAAGGACAAAAAAATTAGTTTTTTAAGGAAAATTAGAGTTATTGGGAGGGGAGGTATTAATAAATAAAAAAGCTCAACTTGAATTTAAAAATTAGTTCATAGTTTTGTTGAGGGTTATTGAGTTATTCTGAGTTTATTATACATATTTTAAACTACTGACACCACACACTTATATTCTTAGTTCTGGAAGGTGCTAGATAGAATTTGATTGTGTGAAAACCAAATCCCTTTGAGATTAACATTAACTTTATCAAATGTATGACCGTGACTTTTATTTCTAGTTAATGAGCATTGTTGATAAAGGTGTCTTTATTTAAATGATTTACTTTGATAACATTTAACATTCATGGGAAAAATAAAAAACAACACAAAAATAAATTTACAAAAATATATTACAAAAAAAAAAATGAAGTGGCTCAAAAGTTGTCAATTTCTTTACATTTTAATATGTAAAAAAATTATTGACAACTTTTGCGCCACGTTGTCTTCTCCTCCCAGCATCCGCTCTATTCCCCGTGTTGTATGGGGTGCCATCCCTCCATCTAAAGGAGGGATGGTCGTCCCCATACAAACACCAGCGATGGAAGGCCCTCATAGATAGAGGGCCTGGATGCTGGGAGCGATACTTTCTGAATTCTTCCCATGACTTCGAGCCTGAAAAAAAAATTATATATAAATACAACTATGTACCAAGGTAATACTTACAAAAAATCTACTGTAAAAAAACAATAAAAGCAAATAATGTAATAAATTAAGTACAAGTGAGCACAACAACTTATTTATTTTACTCACTAATACTTGACTTATTACATTAACTAATTAAACTGGAAAGCACATTTGTAGCTATATTAAAAAACAAAAGGTACAATAAAAGCAATCAATCAATGTAATAAGTCAAGTAAAGGTGAATATAACAACTTACTTGTAACAGAAGAAGCAGCAGCTAGAGATAAATAAAAGAAAATTAAAAATGCAATAAAACCAATTAATCCATAAATTAAGTCAAGTATAAGTGAATAGAACAACTTACTTGTAACAGAAGAAGCAGCAGCTAGAGATAAATAAAAGAAAATTAAAAATGAAGAAGGCAATATAACAACACGGCCTGGTCTTACATTAAGATCATTAGCACGATTAATTACATGTTCATGCAATGCATCATATTGCTCACTTCTAAGTTTGTTTTGGTTATTTCTAATAAAAGCAAGGCGCTGTCCCTCAACTTTGACATATGCATCAACAACATATTGCTGAAAAAGTTTCTTACCATAGAATATAGGACTAAAAGTTTGTCTAACAGCAAGCCTATAATTATAATACTGAGACAAAGTAACATGGTTTCTAACACGGGTTGCACGGTCAGGGTTGTGCTCTAGTTGATTGTGCCATCCAGCATCACCTCTCGGGAAGAATATTGGATATACCAAAGGATCCAAATTTGCAGACATAGACGAAATTGTTCTTAAAGGCTGACCTCGAGGGTATATAACAATTTCCCTGGATGCAGGTGGAGCACCATCATCTCCCACAAACACAATAGCAACTTCCTCATGGGAAGGAAGATTGTATCGACGTCTATCATGACCTTCAAGCAAAGACATTCTTACAACAGAGGTTGGTCTACCTTCTAAAGCTGCTTGGCGGATTTCTTCATCCTCTACTTCTGCCATGTTTTTAAATGCAAGAGCAAATGGGTTTTCTTGATTAATTAATGTTTGCAAGAGTTGCATTAACTCATGTATACAACCATCATTACCAGGTTGTTCCATTCTGAATGACACTGCTGCATTAGGATCATAGATATACAGCTGACAATATTTGGGCAGACAACCTTCTGCAGGCCTTAAATTTCCAACACGATGCAAAATTTGCCCACAGACCCTAAAACAGAAAGGGCCATTATTTGAGGGAGGAGCTATTTCGGCAGTGAAGGAAGCAAAAGATAAAGAGGAATTATAACTCCTTATGTGTTTAAAAAAATTTTGATTTACAGCATGATCAACATGGTTTCCTGTCATTAAACCAGTCAACAATCGCGGATAAAGAGAAAGAGGAGCTAATGCAACTTTTCCTGAATGGCAGCACAAAAAATGAGTTTCATTTAAAAACTTCTTTGCACTGCAATACTGACAATTATGGTTTAATTCTCCGAGGTAGTTACTCTCTATAGCAATATTATTTCTTGCTATGCGATG